TTCTTTCTTTCTTTCTTCCTTCCTTCCTTCCTTCCTTCCTTCCCTCCCTCCCTCCCTTCTCTCTCTCTCTCTTTCTTTCTTTCTTGTACTGGGGATTAAACCCAGGGCCTTTACACTGAGCTATGTGCCCAGCCCTTTTGTGTGTGTCTGTGTATTCTTTTTCAGTTTTTCCTTTTATAAAGTGATTTTATTCAATTGATTTGGATACACTATAGGTTAAGTAGTATTTTCTGAAGATGATAATTATGGATTTTAAAGCTCTACAAAACATTAGTAGCTTCAAAAGTGTTAGGGATACTCCCCAACAACGGCATGATAAAATAATTCAACTGTGTAGAAATATAGAGGTCTAGGACTAGGTGGAAACTTGGAAATTATTTAGCCTTATATCCTCATTTTTTGAGAAAAACCAGACTCAAAGATTAAGTGATTTGTCCAAGCTTATATCTAATAGTAATAAAGCTAGAAACCAAACCAATTTTTCCTAAGACTAAAATTTTATTAATGATATTTCAACTGGCTGTCAACTTAAAGTCTAGATTTTTCTCTATTGCTTCAGGCTATCGTGACATGGAAGAGTGATTAGACACTATAGAAATCATTATTTTTAATTATGAGACAGGGTCTCACTTAGTTCCCCATATGAGACTTGAACTTGCAACCCTCCTGCCACAGCCTCCCAGAGCATTGGGATTACAGCTGTGTGCCACTTCCAGCTCAGACTGTCATCTTTGAGGCCAAAACTTTCTCACTTTTTTGTAAGCCAAGGCCTTGTGTAAAGTAGTCAGCTAATATCCAGTGTCTGGAGTGGACCTGAGTTTGTAGATGGAGCTGTAGGAAGAGGCAGGGAGAGGAGGGGGAGGAAGAATGTGAACATGATTTCTGACTCTGCCACTCTTGGGAGCCCGGGAGTCATTCATGACACCTGACTGATGACCTTTGACCAAAGAGGAGCTTTCCTGATGGGTGAGCTATGATGTGTGATAAACAAGCAAACAAACAAACATTTCCTAACCCTCTGGGAAAGAAACACCTTCCCTCACCCCTTGGTGGATGGAAAGACATCTCCATTTCTGAGTCCTGTTTGTGGTAGCAAAGATGAGGAATGTCTTATTTTTTAAAATTTTGTATTTTTTATTTTTGGTACCGGGGATTGAACTCGGGTCTTTGTGCTTGCGAGGCAGGCGGTGGAACCACTGAGCTAAATCCCCAGCCCAGGGGTCGTCTGTTTTAGAGTTGAATTTAGACCTGGGTTTAAGTTCCCAACTCCTTTTCTTTCTTTTTGTGATAAAACATATACAGCATAAAACGAACCATTTAAAATTGTACAACTCAGTAGCATCAAATATGTTCACAATATGATGCAATCACTTCCATTATCCATTTCCTGAACTTTTTGATCCCAAATAGAAACTCTGCCCCTACTCCTTTTATTTTTGGTACCAGGGATCGAACTCAGGACCTTGCACTTGCAAGGCAGTGTGGTGCCACTGAGCTAAATCCCCAGCCCAACCCCCATTACTTTTAAGTGCCTTCGTGGTCAAGGTACTGGTGGTTATTTCATCGATTAGTGGAGTAATCGTATTATCTGCTGAACAGAGTATTGTCAGAACTCAACGACGTCATGCAGCAAAGCTGCTTAGTACAGTGCCTGACACTAGGCTCTGTCGTCTGTGTACTCAATGTACCATATTATGGGATGGAGCAGAGGAAAGACAACCCACACCACTTAGAGCCGGGGGCATGGGGGGGGCGTGTTGGATAGGTTCCTTCTCAGCTCAAAATGATTTGAACTAGAGATTACAGGGTGTGTGGTGTGGGACAGTATTGAAGGGGTTTGACCAGAGCCACGGCTGTTGGCAAATAGCCTTTCCAGTTCGAAGAACATTGCTTTCGCCACCAGCACTACATCAGGCATGTGTGGGAAAGCAAGACTGAGACTCAAGGAAGTAGGCACTACTTTAGATCAAACAGTTAGGAGTAAAGATGGCTTCAGAAGCCAAACTTCTGAAGCACGTTGCATACATCTTAATGAGACAAAACCCCCCAAAATAGGAAAGAAACCCCAGAGACCCTGAAGGCCCTTGTACTGTCTAATTGAGCCAAGATCCTGACTACATGCATGCAATCCAGAATGGTGTAGATAATTACTTTTCATGGGGGAGAGAACCTTCTCTTCTATTTTAGAGGCAAAATCATGCTGGTGGGGGGATCATAGAAAATAACTCTTTGAAAATCATGATTCTTAGGGAAACTAGGACTTTTTAAAGACTCAAAATAGCTTGTGCTTTTTAACCTTACCCAGCCTCAGCCTGCTGATGCATCAGATGTGGGGAGCAGTGCTGCAGGAAGCTGCAGTGAGCCCTGAGATAAAGAACATCCTAGTGACTTGCTCTGTGTCTGGCATAGGGATGGCGTTCAGCAGATATTTGTTCCAAGAAAACAGGGATGCTATTGATGGAGCCCTCTCTCTGACCCCAGCCATGGCCCACTCAACTGTGCCGGGGAGATTTGCAGGTGCCACATACACTTTGCAATGTGACCTGGAGAACGACCTCTCAGGGGGACTGGAGCAATTTATGGCAAGCATGCGCTGCTGTTTTACTCTGCACCCCTGGTTGCAGTCAGTTCGTGCTGGCTTCCCATGTTTACCAGAGACATCAAGATTCGTCCTGGTGACATTCACACCGCAGCTGCAGGTTTCAGTCTCATGCCCAGGGACACAGGTCGCATGGGATAGAGGCAGACACCATCCACCCATGTAGAGCAATGGGAAGAATCTTGTCCCAGGAGCCAGGGTGCTGGTTCTAGACCTGGCCACATACTAGCTCCATAAACCCAGGGATCACTGAGCTCTCTGTAATCTCACCTCTTTGAACCTCAGATCTTTTCCTGTGAAACAGGGGGCTTGTAATACATGACTTCTCTGGCCCCCTTCAGCTGTAATATACCACGTCCCATTTACTTATTCCCTTTATTTATTGCACTCACAGCTTTGCAATATTGCTCCTGAGTGAAAATGCTAGTGCCCATACATGTGTTCAGTCACACACACACACACACACACACACACACACACACACCCAGACCCAGCATCTACACTTGGGAAAATAGCACGCACACCGGAGGCCCCAGTGAATAGCGATTTACTCACCACTTCAGAGTGACATAGCCCAGCAGCCTCTGGACTACCTCCTCATCCTCCTGTGACTCGGTGCTTCTGCTGCCAGATGAGACAGAAATGGTGCAATCTGATCCCCACCCCCTAGAGCCTCTGCTTTCGGCGGCTGCTGCAGCCGCCCCTGCCTTTCTACCATGGATGCTGCATCCGCTCAGGAACGCTGAGCACAGCACATTTCTGAGCTTTGGGAGGCAGGCGGGATTGCTGCAGAGGGAAATGGGTTTCCATTCTTGACACGGCTAGTTCCACCCACTGAGTGTTTGTGTTGGGGGGAAATTGTCTTTGAAATCTTGCCACCTGCCAAGGGATGGATTTGAGAAACCTGAGCATTTGCCAAGAGCAGACCCTCTTTGTGCAAACATATTTAATCATCTAGGATTGTGAGCTTGCCTCCTGCTTCAGACCTATCTGCTAAGGTGACATTTGTTAAGTGTTTGTTGATGGCGAGGGTGACAGGATCTTTAAAGCATCTGAGGGCAGATGCCTGGCTTTTTCCTTCAAAAGTGATGTTTCTGTGGGCTTAACAGTTTTCAGGGCAACATGGTTCAGCCTGTTGGGATAAACTGTGCTTCGTGGCACTGCTGGCTTTCCCAGCATAATCTGTTGGGAATAGAACAGGGCAGAGCCTAAGACTCATTTGCTATGGGGGTGGAGTTTGCTTTTTAATTTCCACAGATGTCACCCTGAATCACTCACTCAGCTTTGGGGTGCCAGTTGCATTGCTGACCAGTCTTCATTTCCACATTGTCTTATAGCTGATGGTCTCTGGGCAGTTTTTTGCCATCCTGAGTTTCAGTTTTCTCAGCTGTGAAATAATACCACTGGCAGGGTGACTGTGAAGAATCATTTAGATGTCTTCTGACAATGATCTGCACATCTTTTTGAGTATGTTTCCCATCCATCAAACTTTGCACCATGCATGCATATTTATATGTTTGTAAGTTATATGTTGCAGTATTCGATAAGCTAGTATCTCAAGTCACAATATATGCTTAGGATAAGGTTCATTGTTATTATTATTATTTTTTGCTACCGGGGATCGAACTCAGGACCTTTTGTTTGCCAGGCAGGCATGGTGCCACTGAGCTAAATCCCCAGCCCAGGGTAAGATTCATTATTAATGATGCTAAATAATATCTCAAGCAATCATGATAATTCCAAAATATTTGCCCAACTTTGTGTTGGGGCCAAATGGATCCTCATTATTTTGGTCTGGAAATGTGGGTACAAAGAGTGGATGTGTAAGTTCTGCCTTCTCTTGTTGCTGTGTTATTACTATAATATCCTCTTCCATTCAGGATTTCCTTGCAGGAAACCTGTAGGTGCAGCATTCCCTTTGTGGGCTTTAGTTTAATTAAAACAAGATTGCATTCTCTGGAACTGCATGAACGTGGAACGCTTGCCTTTCCCCCAGGAGGCTGTGTTTCCTGTCATGGCACACAAGGACCAAAACATCATTTTGTCAACTCTTGTATTAAACATTCACAAAGCTTCATTTATTCCTGATATTTAAGATAATCTAGAGGCTCTGATATTTTTCTTTCCTGTCCTTCAATGGGTGGTAAGTTCATCGACATAAGTGTGCCTTGTAAACTATCAAGTTAACCTAAGCATGGGTGCTGATTTGGAGAATTTGCTCACCTGAAGGTCAAAGAAAATCTGAACACTTGAAAAACAGGATCCACCTCAGGGTGGTCATAAGAACAGGCCCAGTACTGTGCAAGCGCAAGGACCTGAGTTCAATCCCTGGTACCAAAAAAAAAAAGAATAGGCTCGGTTATTCCTCATTTGTGAGTGGAGTCCCAGGCAAGGTCGGTCGGTGGGTAGCATGGTCACACCTAGACTTTGTGGACTCCAGCAACGTCCCTGCATGACTGTTAGGAACATTTTGAGCGTAGATTCCAATTCCTCACTCTCTGAATTGAAGACCCAAGAAGAAGAAGAAGCCTGCCGTGGGCTTGGAGCTGGGTAACACGTGCTCCTCTTCTATCTTATTATTCGTCCTGAAGCCAACTCTACCCTAGAAAGAATCAACTGACCAAGATCGTGAAGACTGCTTTCTGGGTAGCAGTTTTTCTCACCTGCTCTGGAAGCGATCCAGGAAGCAATCCAAATGACACTCAGGGACATAGCTGGGTTATAGAGAATGGTACAGATCCTAAATGGGAAGAATGAAACATGCTTTGGGATTGCAGCTTCAGAAGGGACATCGAGTGACAGAGATCAAAACTACCAGGACAGTTCTAGCAGTTAGAATACACAGAAACCCTCTGGATGCTGAAAACTTCAGTTCTTCCACAGCAGTGAGGCTTAGGGCTCTCATGTGACACACGTGGGGTCCGGTGATTGGGTGCTGAGCCAGAAAAGATGAGCCTGTGGCTTATGATCAGGTGACTTTGGGAGAAAGATGAAATAGTCACATGTTATGACTTCAGCCACATTTCCCAGGCAAACCTGTGTAGCTCACCCTGGCTGACGCACATAGAATGGGTCAGAGATGCTAAGTCCCTGTGCCCTGCAGATTTCCCCAGGCAGGGAGAAACCCAAGGACCCAGGCTTTCTCCTGAACAGAACAAGAGTCCTTGGATATCTCTTTGGCAGTTTTCCGGGTGTTTCTCTCTGGGACAAATTTGGTTTCAGGGAGAATAATAGAATAGAAGAAGCTAAAGGAACATGCGCTATCCAGTTCCAAGTGGAGGCCTATAATGCTAAGAAATCATTTTAAACATTTATTCAGTGAAAAATAAAGAACAGGTAGGTCCTTTTTTCTTAGCATGTTCTCTTAGGGAAGCAAAATCATGTCACAGTGCCCAGTTTCCCTGGCTGTGAAGTGTGACCATGTTACTGGACTCCTGTCCATGGAACAAAGCCACTTCTAGGTGTGATATTGGAGATATTGGTGCCATCTGTCCTTTTCCTTTCATGACACAATCCCAGACATGACAATGACTCAGCTTCAGACATGGAGATAATGATGAGTCTCTAAGTGCTGGGGTCCCTGAATGACCCTGAGGAGTAAGGCTGCTGCCCCTGCCCCACCCCAAACTGCACAACTTCAGTGGGTGCTGTGGTGGGCTGCCTGGATCCCCCTGCAGTTCTGAGCTCTTCATTCTCCTAACTGCTGGGAGCAGGGCTGCTGATGGCTTGCATTTGAGTTCTTTAGGAATTGTTCTCCTTCCCCTTCCCCTAGAGACACCACCACCAATAATTAGTTAATAATAGTTAATGTGCTTTTAAAAGGACATTGGAGCTCCCTGTTACGCAATTTCCATTGCAAGTGCAATGAGCTTTTGTTCAGATGTTGCTCAGAAAGTACCTCTCAGCAAATCTCTCCATGCAGGTCTCCTTAATAGTCCATCATCTCCTGGAGAATCCAGGCCATGTGCCACTCATATTGTGACTGCTACATGAACATGAGGGGAAAAAACCTTATTCATTTCATTAAGTCTCGGCAGGGTTGTGCTTGTTTGTTACAGTAGCTCCATGGAATAGTGAGAAACAAACCAGCCTGAGATTCAGGAGATCTGAATCCTAGTTCTGCTTCTTCTAGGGATTCAGTTTTTAGACTTTGAACTTCACTCCTCTTGGCCTTTATCTTAGCTGTAAAATGAAAATGTCAGACTAGATCCTTTTCAAGGCCTCATCCAACTTTAATAATCTGTTGTTATCTTTGTTCTAAAAACTATCTCTTCATGAAGATATAGTGATATCTGGTGGCAGTCGTATTAGTTGAAAATTTCCACCCAGGCAAAAGATTTGGAATGTGACCCTACACACTGACCTCTCTTTTGCTTCTCCTCATCCCACCTCTTTCCCTTCTGCCCCCACCACCTGTCTTCTGTCTCTCTCAGATGCATTGCATCTGGCAGCCAGAGAGGAGGTCCGGAAAACCTCAGTTTGAGCTCAGCTGCTGCTGTATGCCTCCAGCTGAAATTCCATCTGGAGCTGATGCTGTGGGCCAACTCCTCCTGTGAAAGCCGTCTTTTCCATTGCAGCTCTCGGCCTTGCACCCCAGGGGTGGCTTGGGCAGAATCGGCCACTGAAGACAAACATTGTATGTTTTCTTTCCCAAGTTGGACCTCTTTGGAATCAAAATGCCCTTGATGCCTGTGTCCAGGAAAATGATGCTGTGCTTGGCACTGCCACCAGCTAGAAGGACCCAGCCCTGCCCTCATGGCACTTATGTATGAGCTTAGCTAGGCATTGTCACTTGAATTGCTGAATTATGGTTAGTGTTTACTTAACGTTGCTTTGCAGTTTATATGCATATGTTTGTTTTTCTATTATCTCAATCCATCCTGAAAGTAACTCAGCAAGTCTGGTATTCTTATTATTCTCATTGTACAGATACAGGAAGAGAAGTTATGATGGCTCTCCTAAGCTCACACCGTAGTGGATAGAGTTAGAGTTGGAACCCTGGTCTTCAACCTCAAGGCCTGGACTTTTGGCTGGGGTATATCTGTGGCATGGTGCTTGCCTGACATGTACCCTGGGATTGATCCCCATGCCATAAAACAAAAACAAACAAAAGACTCTGCCATTTTTTCTGTCCCCTTTTGTTAGCTAATAAACTTCTTTTTAAGATCCACATCTAGATCCTCCAGGAAAGTCTCTGGGCTCCCAGGAAACCTGGCTCAGATCTTAGGATACACATGATTAGTTCCTAGTACAACTCTCCTGCCTCCCACTAGATCAGGAAGACTTTAAGAATGGAGCTTGTGTCTCAGGTATCCTTGAGGACATTACGAAGCCGCCTGTGAGCCTTGAGGAATCTTCCCTGCTTTATTACCACCCAAGTACCCTCCTCCAATGGCAATATAGCTTCTGTTCCATGCATGTCAGGTTCCAAGTGGAGTCCTACACTGACTTCAATTCTTCCTGCTTTCAGAGCCTCTTCCAAGAATGGGCTTGGGGAGTGAATTGCGGAAGAGTGTGGGGGAACTGTGCTTGAGAAAGGGCAAGAAAGAGGCATCAGGAGGGAAAATAGGGCATAAAGAGTGGGCTTTTGGGATATTACTGGCAACTCAGCTGATACAGTCTTGAAGGTTCAGAAACCCTTTCCCATGGCTTTCCGGAGCTGGTGTTAGTGGTAGGAGTAAAGGTGGAGGTGGAATTCAAGGTGTTTT